TTCATTTACATTTTCATGATAGCTAGTGATCCTGAGCATTTTTTCTTATGTCTGTTGGCTATTTGAATTTCATCTTTTGAAAAATGCCTATTCATGTCCTTTGCCCATTTCTTAACTGGATCATTTGCTTTGTTATTACTGAGTTTCTTTTCTTATTCCAAACTACATTTGTATTTTTGTTTTACTCTTGATCAGATTCACTAGAATTGTATTCATTCTATTAGTATATGTCTCCTTAAAATAATTTATAGAATATAAAGTAAAATATATAGCCATTTGAATTTTGCTGTTGTTCACATTTTAGGCAAACAGGTAGAGTTTCCTATCTTCAAACAGTATTTATCCTAAAGATTCCTAACATTTGTACCCAGACAACAAATCACAATAGTGATTTTACAAATAAGAAGACTAAGTTCAAGAGGAAACTTTTTCAGCATGTCATGGGATTCTCTCCCTGGGGTAATGCTTGCTTGGCACTTTTGTGGACCAATCTCAAAGTTAACAAGGCCAGATATTAACAGTTAAATCATTTCTAACTGTAGTGTGCATCCAGAAAGAAGCTAAGTGAATTTATTTCTCCTCTTAAGAGATGTTTATGTATGTGCTATGAGTTGTCCTGGAGAACAAACCCTGAGGCATAATTTTATGTAGGGAAGGGTTTGTTTAAATAAGAACATTATGCCACAGTAACATGACTAAGAAGCTATGTCAGTAATGAACTGCAGGGCCCTGCCACCTGATTCAGCTGAGCCAGGTAAACACAGCAAAGTGCTTAGAGATTCCTTGTTATCTCTAAGGGAATGAGTTCAGGAAGGTTGTCCAAATGTGATGCAAAGCAACCTTGAGATGGAAGATTATAAGAAAAAAAAGTTACTTCATTAAGATTGTCCAAATTTTAATATTAAAGATTTATTGTTGAGATATTATTAATGAATTTTGTAACCACATGGCTTCTTCTTTAAGAGTACTTTTCTAAACATCCAAATGCAAAAGCTTGCCATCCAAATCAAGCACACATTAGACTTTGAGCCACTTTTATTGTGGCCATCACAATTTTACAGACTAAATGTAGTTTCTGCCAAGAGGGTAAAAGAGTGACATGCACAAACAAATTCTGTGCTGACAAGGTCCAATTAAAGATTAGAAATAGCTTCCTGAATCTCACTATGAAAATGAAAGCACTGAAGAATATTAGCTGGTTCTGCAATTTCAACACCCTTACCTCAAAACGCCCCCTTCATGCGTTTCTGGGCAATTAGAGGGTATGTATCCCAGCACTCACACGAATGCAGTTAGTCTGTTTTCTTTTGCCCTGCCCTTCACCAGATCTTCACTCACATCTACTGGCCTGGTGTACTTTCTTGCAGATAGTGTCACATCTCCTTCTCGCACCACAATGTCAGCCAGGCCCCACTGTCACTTCCACTAGGAGACCCTTCAGAATGCCATCTTCCTGTCTTCTCCTTGTTCAATGGATGCAAAGCAGTTGTTTGTGTGCTACTGTCTTCCAGAGGTTTTGCTTCTTATTTGTAGTTCCTATCATTTGGAATAGATGTGAGAGGGACAAGGGCAGTAGCCAGATCCCACAAACAGATGCTGCTGTCAGAAGCGGCCCCTGCCCTGACTTCTAAGGCAAAGTTTGACTACGTGCAGTCCTTCTTTCCCAGTGACTTCCCTAAGAGCCTCTCCTATGGCCCTGTTTAGACTTTCGGTGGAAAGTTGGTCCATCATGGTGGTTCCTTTGCTGTCCTGTCCTTCTTTTACAGTCCTCAGCCTTCCCACCACTTAAAGAGGTGACAATTCTAGTGTAGAGGCAGGAATTGAAAAATGAAGGTCCAAAGGCTAAATCAGGTCCGCCGCCTGTTTTTGCACAGCCTGAAGATTAAGAGTGCCTTTCACACTTTTAAATGATGGGGGGGGGGGGGGTCAAAAGACTATTTCATGCATATGAAAATGACATAAAATTCAAATGTCATATTTATAGGGCCAGCACTGTGGCACAGTGGGTTAAAGCCCCAGCCTACAGCGCCAGCATCCCATATAAGTGCTGGTTCAAGTCCTAGCTGCTCCACTTCCGATCCAGCTCCCTGCTAATCCACCTGGGAAAGCAGTGGAGAATGGCCCAAGTTCTTGGGTCCCTGCACCCACATGGGAGACCCAGAAGAAGCTCCTGGCTCCTGGCTTCAGATCCACTCAGCTCCGGCCGTTGCAGCTTTAGGGAGTGAACCAGTAGATGGAAGACCTCTTTCTTTGTCTCTACCTCTCTCTATAACTCTTTCAAATAAATAAATCTTTTTTAAAAAGTCATGTCTACAAATGAAGTTTTATTAAACCACACTTGTTCATTTACATATCATCTATGAATGCTTTCTTGCTACAACGGCAGCATTGAGGGGTTCCTGCCAAGACCATATCTAAACACAGCCTGTAATAATCAGCTTTGGGTCAATATAACAAAAGAATTGAGATAAGCTACTTATAAAGAAAAGAGAGGGTTATTTAGCTCAGAGTTTGGGTGGTTCAATTCCAGGTGGGTGACATTGATTCTGCATTTGATGAGATCAGTGGATGGCAAACAGAGCACAAGCAGGAGAAGGAGCACATGGCAAGCCAGGAAGCAGAGAGAGAAGTTGGGTCCAACTCCGGCTTTTGTAACAACCCTCTGAAGAGGACCCCTCCTTGGGTCACACCCCCAAAGACCTAAGGGCCTCTCACTAGACTCCACCTACTAAACACCATAACTGGATTGATTTCCCAGTCTCTTAGTACTAGTAAGTTATGACTCTGGAGTTCCAAGTACTCGCACACTGTTGAAGCCAAAACTTATTTAAACCATAGCAAGGCCCTCTGTAGAAAAAATGCATTGTCCTCTCTTTCGGGCCTGCTGCCCTGGTGTTAGAGCTCCTGTGGGCAATTTCTTAATATCTTCTAAGCCACAACTTCCACATTCGTAAGGCTGGATGACAAGAGTTCTATTTACTTCATTAGGTTGTATAGGGAGTAGCAAGTTGATTTAAGTAAATCTAGTACAGATACATTTTAGACTATGCACTTAGTTGCTGTTGTCACTCTGCACCTGGTGGTCGTGAAGAATGAAACTGTTCTGGCATTTAATTGAAATTCTAGATAAAATGTTTGCTTCCTGGACTGATCACAAAGTGATAGAAAGAAAAATCTGATAAATATGACAGTCATTTAAACAATATAGTTATAATGTCACTGACCATGGAAATGCAGAATGAAACTTCACTCTTGTCACAAACAAGGGTCATATTTAGGCAAATAACTCCTGCTTCTTGATGTATAGCCCAGGCACCTCAGCAGTCAAGTTGTTTTCTTTTGTTTATTTTAAAGAATGCCAAGTAAAGTTCTCCAATTTTTTATGCTCTTCTATGGCTACTTTTCATGTAGGTACAAGATTTTCTATAGTTATAATGATATTGTGGCATGAATGAGTACAATTTAGTTATTTTTATTACACAATATTTTTCCATATTGTTTTAATCTTCATTATTATTCCTTGTTTTTTTTTTTTGTTTTTTTTTGTTTTTTTTTTTTTTTTTTCTTTTTGACAGGCAGAGTTAGACAGTGAGGGAGAGAGACAGAGAGAAAGGTCTTCCTTCTGTTGGTTCACTCCCCAAATGGCCGCTATGGCCAGTGCACTGCGCTGATCCGAAGCCAGGAGACAGGTGCTTCCTCCTGGTCTCCCATGTGGGTGTAGGGCCCAGGCACTTGGGCCATCCTCCACTGCCTTCCCAGGCCACAGCAGAGAGCTGGACTGGAAGAGGAGCAACTGGGACAGAACCAGCGCCCCAACCAGGACTAGAACCTGGGGTGCTGGCGCTGCAGGCAGAGGATTAGCCTAGTAAGCCACGGTGCTGGCCATTCCTTGTTTTAAGCAGCTTTTTTAAAAAAAATTTGTGTAAGATATACAAATTTCATGTACACAGATTTAGGAACATGGTGATACTTCTTACCCTACTCTCCCTCCCGCCCACACTTCCACCCTTCCTCTTTCTTCCTCTCTTACTCCTCTTAATTTTTATGATGATCTACTTTCAGTTGACTTTATACTCAAAAGATTAGCCCTACAATAAATAGAGTTCAACAAATAGTAAGAAAAAGCATTGTTCTTCAACAGTAAAGACAAGGGCTGTAAACAATCACTGAAGCTCAAATGTCAATTTCACTCCTATACATTACATTTTTGGTACTCTGTTAGTTACCACAGATGAGGGAAAAAACATGATATCTGTCTTTTTGGAAGTGGCTTATTTCACTAAGTGTAATGGTTTCCAGTTGCATCGATTTTGTTGCAAAAGACAGGATTTCTTTTCTTTTTTTATCACTGAGTAGTATTCCATAGTGTATATATACCATAATTTCTTTATCCAGTCATCAGGTGATGGACATCTGGGTTGATTCCATGTTAGCTATTGTGATAACTCTCTCATATGCTGATTTCATTTCCTTTGGTTAAATTCCCAGGAGTGGGATGGCTGAGTTGTATAATATATCTATTTTCAGCTTTCTGAACAATCTCCATTCTATCTTCCACAATGGCCAAACTAGCTTACATTCCCACCAACACAGGATTAGGGTGCCTTTTTCCCCACATCCTCACCAGCATTTGTTGTTTTTTGATTTCTGTATGAGAGCCATTCTCACTGGGGTGAGATGAAACCTCATTGTGGTTTTGATTTGCATTTCCCTGATGGTTAGTGATCCTGAGCATTTTCTCATGTGTCTGTTGGTCATTTTAATTTCCTCTTTTGAAAAATGCCTATTCAAGTCCTTTGTAAGCAGCTTTAGGAAGATAATTTCTCAATGTTTATAGGACCCTTTATGGATATATTTAAATATGCATATTACAAAAACTTTGCATGGATTTCAGAAAAATTTGTACCCAAATAAACTTTTTAATTCATTTTTTTCCCATAGACTTCTTGAAGTCCCCTGGTATAATTTTTAAAAGATAAATAGCTTTGATTTCATCTTACCTGAATACAAATCCAGTTTCCAATGAACTGATGACCTCTCATTGCTCCAGTCATTAACCTCTCTCAAAGGTGGTCTCAGATTATTTACATGTTGGCAGCAAAGAACATTCTTAGAAAAAAAATGAAAAGCATTTTACTATGTTTAAGAAAAACGTGAGAGTGCTCATCAAGCATAAATTCCTGGTGATGAGGAGAAGAAATGAAGAACACTGGGGCTCTGACACCTTCTCCCCATCCATCAGAGGAAATGGACCCCCAAGCCACACACTAGAGTCAAGGACAGACCTAAAGATGGTCCCTCCTGTCATCTGAGGGTAGAGAGTGGATAGCGATGCAAGAGCCCGCAGGGTACATGCAAAGGTGTTTCTGGAGAGGTGGGTTGGGTTTCTTGGTTCTATTCAGCTCATGGGCCCTGGCTAACACATAACCATCCCATCCCGAAGCACTTTCTCTTAGGAGCCTGAAAAACACTGCATACATTTTACTTATTTTTATTATCTGTGTGTGTGTGTGTGTGTAAGGTTCCAGCAGCCACTCACTCACGTATAGGATTGAAGAATGATCCTCCTCAATCTAGAAGAAGAAAAAAGGGCATTGTTTAACAGAATCCATAGTTTGTCCCTGAGGAGCCACCAGTCACTCTGATTTGGCAAGATGAGCCTGAAAATCAACGGAGACATTGAAGTCCTGGCCAGTCGGCTTCCCACCCAGCCTCCTGACTGAATTATCCTCGTTTTTCTCCCCAAGGCTCCTGCAAGAAGAGCGTGCCGGTACTTGCTTGCACATATCTGTGTCTGTGTGGGCTCTGCAGTCTTAGTATCACTGGTTGTGGAATATGCTTAATGCTTCTTTGGAGAAGATATCAGAGGAGAAAGAACAAGCTATTTCTGGGGAAAATGTGGTCAGCCCATCTACCCATCAGATTGATTCTCTAATTTTAAGCCTCATTTTAACAAAAGACTTTGAATAGCTCCGCTTTTATCATTTAAATGGACTTTCAAACTGGGATTGAACCTTCTGATAAAACAAAGTAGGTGGACATTAGTCTTCAGAGGAAAATGAATAAACAAACTGAAAGCTGTAATTAAAACTTCCCGTTCAAACTTCCCGTTCTTCCTCCTACTCTCTTAAAGCAAGTATTGTCAAATTTCGAATCTCCAGAGCCCAAATCCAATCCTCAAATTTGGGAAAAAGCTTACCACGCGAAAGTGTGTGTGATGGGGTTGGCTTTGTGGTGGAGAGGGAAAAGCAGCTGACAGTAGCAACCTATATATGGGAGTTGGTTCCAGTCCCGGCTGCTCCACTTCTGATCCAGCTCTGCTAATGAGCGTGGGAAAGCAGCAGAGGATGAGCCAAGAGGTTGGGTCCCTGCACTCATGTGGGAGACCCAGAAGAGGTTCCTGGCTCCTGGCTTCAGTCTGGCCCAGCCCCAGCTGTTGCAGCCATTTGGGAAGTGACTTAGTGGATGGAAAACCTCTCTCTGTCTCTCCCTTTCTGTGTATCTCTGCCTTTCAAATAATTAAAACAAGTATTTAAAAAAAAATAAAAGTGCAGGTGAGGCAATTGGAATCATGTTGGGGAAGAAACCTGGTTCTGCTGGAGAGGGTATTAACACTATGCTGTGTATGAAGTTTCAAATGTACATGGGTGGTTCTAGAACAGAGGTCATTTCATTCCCCCTGAACAAAGAGGACCCTGGTAACTTTGTGTGGACTCTGCTCCTCCACACTTGGGTGGTCCAATCCAGGGCAGGGAGTTTCAGCTCCTAAGAGCCAATCAAAGTAGTTGCTGAGGAAGGGGTGAGGTAAGTCCTAAAGAAGTACAGTCTTGAAAGAAAACCTTAAACAACAACTTGAGTAGAAAGGGTGCAGCTAGACTAGATACCAGAGCAGAACAGGAAAAAGGCAACTCTCCTTACCAGCTGTTCAAGCCCCAACCCTGGGAGCCATTTGTGACCCACATGTCTCTCACTTTAGGGTAACAGCCAAGACTGGAGGAGCCTGAAAGTCATACAGTGAGGGAAAGTTATACAATGAGGGAAGTAGGGCTCTTAAAAGAATGCAAGCAGTTCTTTGGGGGGCAAACTGCAAAAGTGCGGGCTGATAAAGCACTCTGAGGGGCCAGAGCCTTGTGGAAAATCCCTTTCTGCGCCCAGAGCCCTACTGTCAGCTCTGCTTTCAGTCTGTGGTAAGAATCAACCTCTCTTCGACCCCTGCTACCCCGCACCCAGCTGCCTGCATTTCTGGCCTGAACCACTCAAGTGGCCGTCTGGTCTTCCCGTGCCAGCAAGTTAAGCTCTGATCCTGGCTAGTTACAACCCTCCAAACACCCCTCACCCCAATAGTAAATGAAGTCCTTAAGCCTGTCATGGCCTAATCAGCTGGCCACCCTGAGCCTCTTGGGTCAACTTTCATCTCACCCCTCACTGCCAGGGATTCCTGGCTGGTTTGGAAACCTGCCCAGCATGCTTGCTGGCCTTTGCACTGGCTGTTCCTGCCGCCCCGATAACCTGCCCTGGGATCCTGTCTCTCCTGCCCAGCAGCACTCCACACACCTCACCCTCCCTGCTTTGGATTTGTCTCTGCAGGCACTCCAGTTCACTGCCATTGCTGGCCCCTCTCCACTGCAAGCTCCTTAGTGCAGTGCCCCTTCTCAGAGCAGGTCTGACACGTAGCAGGCAGTTAATGTGTATTTGTCGAAAAGCAACTACCTACCCTAGAAAATCAGGATCTCATTATTTATTGATAGAGAAAGAGCAATTATTCTCAAGTAGGAAGTGGCATTGCTCCTGGTATCAAATCTACTGTGACAGAGGAATTTCTTAAATCGTCATCACATGTGAATAAACACCTATTAGTCGGTGGGAGGAAAGGATGTACTCATGAACAGAACTTTTAATTAATTGTTAATTAATTACATTTTTGGCCTGGCTTTGCACAAAAGTCACTGACGTTAAAATACATTAATGCTCCAACCAAGCTGTACTATCATTACCGCATGTTTAGCTTCCCTTCTTTTCGGGTCCCAAATAGGTATGAAACTTCCTCAGAGAGGCATTTGCTCAGACGGTGTGCGCAATTAAGCTGGTCATTTACCCTGAGCGATTTTCCTCCAAGCGTGAGGCAGCCAGGGTCCCCGCACGCCTACGCCTCACCTCCCACTTCCCTGCCCAGGTCTCTCCCATGGGACACGAGGCCCCAGGAGGGACCCAGGGCATCTCACGGGCGCCCCGCTTAGCAGGAGCAAAGTCAGGCCTCTGCCGGGTCCCCTTCTCCGCTGGGATGCTCTCGGAAAGGAAGGTCCTGGAGTGGACTTTGCCCTGAACTTCAGAGCCCGGATTTCTTCGGGGTCCCCTTGGACACAGGACTTCCAATTAGAGCTTGCTCAGCCATCTGCCCGCAGAGGCGCCCCCAGGAAGCGATCTGATACTCCTGAGGAGCCAGTCGCCCTCGCTCCAGTTCCCTATTTAGCAGAGGTGCACGTTCTGCTTTTCTGGCGAAAAAAGCCGTGGCCCCAGGAGGTCTCGTTTGCTCTGGAGCGCGCCTTCCGGCTTTCGCAGTGCGGGCTGAAACTCCAGGGGGTGAACACACTAGTCAACTACTCATTCATTCTACAAATATTTACGGAGCGTCCGCTGGGTGCCAGGCACTGGTGGTGCCCGGGAGAAGAGAAGCCACCCTTACCAATTCCTTCTCCCCACCGCGCCGCGCGTAGTGGGAGCGCAGCCCGCACTCTGCACTCACCGCCGCCCCGCTGTGCCCGGCGCCTCCAGCGCAGCCCTCGGGGCACTGGCGGCGGGACACTGGCCCCGCGGGATCCAGCCTCCAGGGTTTAATACCGGTGGGAAAGGCGGGGAGAGAAGCAAACCGCAGAAAGGGAAGAGCCAGACCTCAGTCTGCCCTGGGAAGCTGCTCCCGGGAAGCGCGCAAGGCGGAGCCGCAGCCCGCCCCGGCAGAAAGAGAGAGAGAGAGGCCGGGCTGCCGGCGCTCCCGGCTCTGAGGCGGCCCCGGCGGCGGGCGGACCCAGGAAGGGCCCAGGGGTGGGGCGTGCAAGAAGGGGCGCGCACGGCGGCGCGGCCACCGGCCCAGCAGGTGGACCGCCGGCGCCGGCCCGGGGCCGGGGGTTGAAGGCGGGGTGCCTGCTCTTATCTTCCGCGGCGCGGGAGGAGCGGCCCGGAGGGAGTTCGGGGGCGAAGTTTTCCCAGAACCATGGGCGGAAGAGCCCGGGGCGCGCAGGAGAGCGACGCGGCGGCCAACGGCGTCCGAGGAGCTGTAGCCCACGCCTCAGCAGCAGCAGCAGCAGTCGCCGCCGCCGCAGGGCGAGGTCGCCGCCATGGCCCGCTGGATCCCGACCAAGAGGCAGAAGTACGGGGTTGGTGAGTGCTCGCCCCACCCCGCCCCGACCCAGCCGCTGCGAAGTTCGCGGGCAGCGGCCCTGCCAAGCTTGCGCAGAGTGGGGCGGCGGACGCCCGGCTACCGGTGCGCGCGCTGCTCCGGGGCGCGGGTCTCGCCTCCTGCTGCCCTCGCTGTGCAGCCAGGGCTTAGCTCCAGCTGCCTAGGCTCTGGGAGCCGGAGGAGGTCGGAGCCCTCTCCCGGGAGTGCCGCGGGGGAAGTCACCCGGAGTTTGGGGAATCCGAGTGGCTAAAAGTGTAGCTGGGCTTCGGGACTTTACTCCGGCTCCCGAACCCCAAAGCCGGAGCGCTGAGCAGGGGCGTCCAAAGGAGGGGGGGCGCTTGTTGCTCACTGGGGTCCCCGACTGTGTTTCTTGGCCCCTGCGCCCCCATTCGTGGAGCCAGTTCAGATCTGCAGCTGGGAACTTTGCCCATTGCCCCGGTGCTTTCTGGCTCCCGTCTTCCGAGGTTTTCTGAAGTCCCAAAGTGAAGGGCTGCGGGTAGAAAGCCGCCCTCCCGCCTTCTCCTAGGGCCTGGGGAGGGTGTCTTGATGTCAGTTGTAAATGGGGAGCTAACGCGGTGTGGAGGTGATGGAGAGACAGGAAGTGTGTGGCGCGCGCTGCGGTGGCCGGCCCCTGGGGCTGTGGGTGCGGAGCCGGTCGGTCCACTAACGGAGCGTTTCTGGAGAGGGTGCGGGTCTTCCTTGCCAACGCTGAGTGCTATCTGGGTTAACATGAGGACATTTGACCAAGTAGTCCGTGGCAGGTCGCGTGCTGGGCACTTGCATGCCCAACAGCGGTGCGGGAGCGCTCGGGTGATTGCCGAGGGGTTGCTGGTGTAGCTCTGGACCCGACGCAAGGGATGGGCGGGGGTTGGACCAGGTGAGGAGCCGCGCTCTTTCACTTTGTATATCCCGCAGGGGCCTGGGGAAGTCTCGTGGGAAGACCTCTGCCGTGAGCCAGAGCTTTTGCAAAGGCGGTTAGGACTTCGGGGGAGTCTCCCGTTATAAACAGCCGTGCGTGCTGTTTTATCGCTTCCGCTCAGGCTCATTCATTTGGCGTGCGCGTCATTTCATCTTTACTCCCTTCCGCACCCCTGTTGTTCTGCACCTCCTGGTTCCTGGGGCTGGGTCCCTGCACCTGTCGGTCAGTTTCAGGGACCCTTAACACCCGTAGGTGCTTTTCAACTTTGTAGCCAGGAGCCCGATGTTGATTTTTTAACCCTCTCTTATTTGCTGCATTTTTCTTAGATTGTGGTCCGTATGTATTATTAGTATAGGTTTTTGTTATATAGTATTCTTTGTTTTCTGTCTCCGAAAACTTTTTTTTTTGCGCTGAAGTTACTTTTAGAATTTTTGCTGCTTTGCAGGCACAACTCAGAATGGGGGGTGATGTCTCCTGCCTTCCTCCAGATCACCAGGTCATGATCTAGTTATGAGGCTTCAGACTCAGACCCATAAAGAGGTACCAGCTAGGAAGGAACCAGTAGTCATGAAAGTGAAAAGCTCTAAAATAGATGCAATCGTTGGTTTATTTTTGAGTATTACTGACTACTCACCACTAAATGAAAGCATATTTAGCAATGCCTACTCACTAACTGCTAACTATAAAAAAGTTATCGATTCCCATTTTAACAGAATTAAAAGCTGTTTCCAAAGATACTGTCACTTGGGTAATTAATACAAACATGCTCTAAGAATGTGCCTTTTATGTGCATAGTCACTGGAGCAAGTATGATATGTCTTCTTTTTAATTTTTTTCCTGTTCTGGAATCAGTTTACTGTGCTGCTTGTCACCAGTCAAGAAAATATTCACCTTGCATTTCTAGAGCTCAGGTGCTAGCAGAATTGTCCCCCAGGATATAATTTGGGACACTTACTTCACTAGACATGATAGATTCTTTTGGGGATGGATTTGACACAGTTAGCACACATTAACTGAAGGGAAGGTCCATTGTTTGAAAATGCACTGTTGTTCCTGTCACCTTCCTGGGGGCCCACAGGATAACATCAGATGCAAGCCAGCTTACGGTGCTCCTACAGACTGGCTCCCCCTATCTTCACCAACACTATCTCCCAGGTCTTCTGTCTTTAACTGTCCAGTATGAACATCCCGCCCATCTGGCTCTTGTGCAATAAACTACGGAGAGTCCCTCCTTTGGGACTTTGCCCCCATTGTGTTTGTCCCCTATCCAGAGTGCCCTCCAACCCTGCAGTGGACAATGTGGCCTTTCCCTCAGGGTTCAAATCCCCTCCCACTGCTCCTTCAGATTCCCTATTTGCCAGCTCTTCCCAAACCTTCCCCCTCTTCCTCGCCTTTCCTGCACTGTACCTTCCCTTGTTTTGCTACTTAGTCTCTTATCCCTGGGTTCAATGAATTAGAAGGTTGTGTATGGTTTTGTATTCCCATCCCTCAAGAAGGATACAAGTCTATGCAGTAGTCCGGTTGTGCGTTCTGTGGTTTCGCTTCCCTCGGGCCCCCATAGTCTGAACATATGAAATGGGAAAGAGAGAGAGGGATACCACATTCACATAACTTTTATTTCAGTGTATCATTATGATTGCTGTATCTTATTATTGTTGTTAATCCATTGCTGTGCCTAATTTATAAATTAAACTTTTATCGTTGTATGAATAGGAAAAAGCATGGTGTATGCTCACATGGGGTTCAGTACTCTTCATGGTTTCAGGCACCTACTGTGGATGTTGGCACATATTGCCCATGGATGGGGGGGATGAAGCTATTATTACATTCAGTAACTTCTTGTCCTTGACATTGGGGTGTCCTTCTAAAGCAGACAAACCTAATTTCTCTGGTGATTTAATGCAGTTCACTTGTTAGACTTTAGCATCTCATTCTCTAATATGAATTTTATTTTGCTCAGAGAGAGAAAATGCAAGTCCCACTCTGTCTTTACCTGTGCAATTCAAAAATGAGATATTCTTGTCAAAATTTTTTATTTATTTTTGGAGAGAGCATATGCCTCCTCATCTGCTGGTTCACTCCCCAAATGCCTGCAACAGCTGGAGCTGGGCCAGACTGAAGGTTGGAGCCAGGAACTCAGTCCAGGTCTCCCACACTGGTGGCAGGAATCCCAGCTACCTGAGGCATCACTGCTGCCTCCTGGGTTTGCATTAGCAGGAAGCTGAAGTAGGATCCAGAGCCAGATATTGAACCCTGGCACTCCAATATGGGACATGGGTGTCTTAACCTCTAGTCTGAACCCCTGTTCCCCCACAGTGAGTGGATCCATGGACTAGACAGACTGGTTTAATGAGGAAAACTGGTTTTGTTGGACTTTTTGGGATGGTGATCATGTCTGTGTGTCTGCTGGTCAGATTTGGCTGCTGGGGGGAGGAAGCCTGGAGGATGACTGTTGTGTGCATTGTGGTGACTCAGAGCCAGCAGCAGTTCTGCCTGTTGTGCTGAGGGGAGTTGGCCCTGCAGAGCCATGCTGTGTGAGGGTGGAGCTTTGGTCTCTGATTTGTGCCTGGTGAAGCCAGCAGATTTTACTCTGTTCTCTGGGTGCCCCTATTGGCTGTTCCTGACATAGTCCAGATTTTTCTAGGAGGACTGAAATGCAGTCTCTTCGAGCTTTCTTAGTTCTTAAACATAGCACTGTTGACCCAATCTCTGGAGTTGAGTGGGCTTGAAAGGCCTAAGTGTGTTATCAAGTGAGAGGACCGATGGTACTGACTCAGGAGATCTAGTGTGAGGTGCTTAGGAACAAGTGCTGTTCCCTGGAGCCATGGAGAACTTTCTTTTTTTCCTTCCTTCCTTTTTCTTTCTTGTTTTCTTTTTCCATTCTTTCTTCTTCCTTATCACCCCCTTTGTCTTTTGTTCAGATCATTGAGGATATGAATGTGTGAAATACTTTTGTTTAGAATTCAGGCAAATGTTAGAGATGAATGTCTAGAAACTCTTCTGATTATTGATATATTCACTTTTTAAAGATTTATTTATTTATTTTGAAAGTCAGAGTTACACACAGAGAGAAAGAGAGAGAGAGAGAAAGAGAGAGAGGTCCTCCATCCGCTGGTTCACTCCCCAGATGGCCGCAACGGCTGGAGCTGTGCCAATCCAAAGCCAGGAGCCAGGAGTTTCTTCTGCATCTACCACATGGGTGCAGGGGCCCAAGCACTCGGGCCATATTCTACTGCTTTCCCAGGCCATAGCAGAGAGCTGGATCGGGAGTGGAGCAGCCGGGACTCCAACTGGTGCCCATATGTGATGCCGGCACTGCAGGCGGTGGCTTGACCTGCTATGCCACAGCGCCAGTCCTTGATATATTCATTTTTAAATATGCGTTCACACCAGTCATTCATTCAAGAGTGGTTCCAGATTATGTTGATGATGTATTCTTTGCAGAATAATTTATTACTGCAGGTTGGGATTTGTGTTATATATTTTTATGATGTGATAACAGATGGTTTTGGGATTTATTCCATCGTTAGATCTTTGGTTAGTGGTGCTAGGCTGACTTAATCCAAAAGATTTAACTTTGTTGAGTAGAGCCTTGAGTGCTGATTTAGACTGAAACCAGACTCCGTGGCTCTTTGTTAATGTGCTCAGGTGTAGTGTCATTGCTCCACCTCGGCTTCCTCACAGTGGGCACCATATTCTGTG